CCAAAAAGAAGTTTGTAAAAAATGAATCCGCCTCAACAATATAGAACTTATCTAGGATTTGGATTGATCTAGTCAAATTGCCTACTGATGCCCAATAAACCAGTCGAAACGTCGGCAATTTAAAAAACTACCATTTATTTTTATAGCAAAAAATGCCGCAATTGAGATTGATGCCAAAATTAACACAGCAAAAACTTCGGCAACAGCAAAAATCTGTTTTTTACATCTTTTTCAAAAGCAGTTTTTTCCTTTTCAGCATACGCCAAATCCTGGTCTGATGCCGATGACCAGAGCAGAAAGTTTGACCTAAAATTAGTCAAAATCACTAATTAAAGAGTCTAATTTCTTAACTCTTCTGAATCATGTTTTGACGCCGACAGAGAGCTGAAACTTTGAGACAAACTTCGTCATCATCTTGTCGCTTATTGTGCAAAGTTTCATTTCTTTAATATGGAGAGAAGGATTAAAAAATCGTTTTTCCGATCCTCAAATGGCGAGTTTTCTAAAATGCAGCGCTCGGAAAAAATGTGTCTAAATCCTGCTCTACCACCGATTGAGAGTTGAAGAGTTCTGCTCCAATTAGGCGAAATCTTCTCACTTATTGGGCCAAATTTTATTCCTCCAGTACGGCGAAATGTTTTACCAATTTATTTTGTTAAGCCCAAAATTTTCTAAAACATAAGCTTCTAAACTGGGTTCTGATGCCGATTGAGAGCTGAACATTTAGCACGAAATAAGCCAAAAAATTTGCGCCAATTGTAAAGACTTGAGCAAATTTTCATTTTTTTCCGATTTTAAAGACTGCTGTTAAAAACTGAAGTTTTTCTGAACCTGAAATTGCCGTTTTCTGAGATGCGGCGTTTTGAAAAATCAAGTCAATAAAAAACTAAAATTGTGACTTAAAATTAGTCGAAACCTGCTCGCTTAATGATCAAAATTTCATTTATTTAGTATAAGGGAAAGTTTTCTGAAAAAATTCTGGAAGTTCAAAATAAAACAGCTTATTGGGAAAAGCTCTTAAATCCCGTTTTAACGCCTTAAGAGAAGACAAATTTGGCTGAAAATTACCACAATGACAAAAATGTGTGCGATTTGAGTTTCTTCCAGAAAGTAATAAGAAACCCATGAAATTTTGAGCAAAAAATAGATGATAGTTCTTGACATAGAAGCTTCGTCTCGATTTTACGCCGAACACTCTGCATATATTGGCTAGTAATGCATACTTGGCAAAAACCTGCTTCTAACTAGTTTTAAGAGGTTTAGGCAAGATAAGCTTGTTCCAAAAAAAATTACTAAATGAAACGCTTTAAAATAGTTTTCGAGCGCCATAAAAATGTCTGCTGAGGCAACATTCAAATCTGAGCAATCCGCCGATGAATGATGGGTAAAAGTGAGAAAGCGCGTGAGTTGATTTTAGGCCCACAGTGTAGATGAGCGAGCGAAAAAGCGAAATAAACAACCAGGAACAAGAAACGAAAAGGAGTGGTAATAATAAAGACATCACCAACACAGAGATATGCGAAGCGGCATTATGACAAAGAGGTGTTACAATGATTAACGTCGGTATGAATATATTAAATAATCCGAAGGGGGCAGGTGTGGGCCCCCTGCCGAGCCCCAAGGGGGGCCCTCCGACACACAATCGAGGCCGCAGAAAAGGCCTATCAGCCTTCGAACGGTCGGGACTGCTTTTATTAATCGATTCGAAACACTTAATAATGTTGTTTAATTGAGATTTTTTCCGAGATGGATTAATTTTTTTGCCCGACTTACCGCACCTGAATAGAATGTGGAATTAATTTCCAGTTTATTCATTAGGTTTATTGGTTTTGTGGCCAATTCAAGCTCAGGGCGGCGTAAGAAGTCAAAAGGAAAATTTGCTGTTTGTTTGGTGATTCCACCAATATTTTTTAGTAGTTGTAATTTACTTTTTACATTTTAAATTGACTGATTCCGATAATTAAAGAAGAAAACCTGGTTTTTTTCTTAACTTTTCGGGTTCGTCACAGTTCATTCTTTTATTTTCCGGGAAAATCAGGCTTTTGTTTTTACTGGGTTCCAAATGCCGGTATTAAAACGCAAAATGAAAAGTCTGTTTCTTAAAATTGCCGACGTTTTGCCATTTATTTAGGCCTGCGGATGCCTAAATAAATAAGGCAAAACGTCGGCAACTTTAAGAAACAGACTTTTCATTTTGCGTTTTAATACCGGCATTTGGAACCCAGTAAAAACGGAACCAGGTTTTTTAAATTATTGAAATTTTTCCACAGTAAAACTGGCAGCCACAACGTTAAGTTGCCCTGAGGATGCCAAAATAAGTATGACAAAACGTCGGCAGTAAAAAAAACAAGTTTCTGTGTCCAAACCGATTCAAATCTCGTTGAAAACAACGAGATTTAAAACCAAAGAAAAATCGCGACAAAATTTCCATTTTCGATGTTCATGGCATGATGCAGATGAATGAATTAATAAAAGCACAAAAATAAGTATGAGCAAACCGCATTACATCAGCGAATCAAATTGAAATTGGGAAACAATCAACATTGTAAAATTTATTTCAATCAATTACTCAAAACTCGGAATCATGTAGTAATTATGGAACTTTTATTGGCTTCCCCGATAAGTTTTTGTGTCTTTATTTATCGCTTTCGACCTTCGCGACCCCCTTTTCATGTTTCATCTGATTAAATGGTTGTTTTGTGACAGACTGACAAGTTATAGTTACCAGCCGATCTTTGCAGCGAACCATAAATCCTACATCATTGATATTATTGGACCCGCGCTATCTTTATCGATGGCTTTTTTATTTTGCTTGTAAAGTTCGGCTGCATTTCTGAAAAAAAAATGAAATAATCGAATGGACCTTGCCAACGAGACGGGAAAATTCGGTTAAATTCAGCTAGAAGAAAGGAAATTTTAAAATAACCCCAATCTGCCGAGCACTTGCTACATCAATTCATTAAAAACAATTTAAAATTCCCTAGACTGTCAAGCATAAAATTAATTATAATTGATCATGTGAAAACAGCGATAACTTTGTAATTTGTCTGCAAACATCGTCTCAATACTAGTGAATAAAAATCAACATGTGCTGTTTATGGGTTTCTGGCCAGTAGTAGTTGGGCAAACTGAAGTCACCGATATTTTTGGAGGGTGGTTTGCGCTTGATTTACGCATCATTTAAACCAAATATAAATTTCCTGTTATCGGCCATGTTGTGGTTAAATAATTAATTGGTCCGGCACAATGGATAAAAAATCGGCGCTTTATTAAAACCAGTTTTGAGCTAATTACCACTGCCCGATATTGAATAAACAAGCTATGAATAAATTATGAGCACTTTGGATCGGCTGATGTTATCATGGAACGGCACGCTACTTTGTGGGCATTTTATTAAAGGCAAATGTCCGAAAATTAGCGAAGATTTATGAAAATCAGTAACAAATGGTGGATGGGGAGACAAAGTTAAAAAAACAACGCAAATGCCATTCGTTGTGATTGCCGGCAACACGTATCAAAAATTTAAAAAGCTTGTAAAGCGTCCTCCCTAACAAAAATGCTTTTAGTCCCAAATTAGGCGGGAACATTAATAATATCCATTTATTTGCTTCTCTTGTCCCCGTTTGTAAACTTTAATTAAAAATTATTTATGACGTTTTGTTAGTCTGGCCATTTTTGGTTTCGAATTAATGCCCCTATTTTTTAGCACCAAATTAAAATGAATTATATTTTTGCCTTTTTTCCATGGAAATTTATTAGCTCAGAGTGCATTCGGCCTGCAACGTTTTAAAAGCACTTTCTGATACGCTTTCATTTCACCATTTTCGGCCTAATAAATGATTATCTCTGCTATTTTTATTTACCGCCACTCCGAATGTAATTTGCCTTCGCATTAAGCATAAACTATTTAAATTGGTTGGAAACGCCATTGGTGTGAAAAGGGAAAACACGAATAAAAACATTAAATAAAACTGTTCGACCCGACAATTGAAACGATGTTTTTGTTATATCCCACGTTACAATACGTACAAACTCCTATTTATGCCTACTAATCGTTTGAAATTAACCGTTCTCTCATTCAATCGCACAATTATTCATATCAAACAATTTAATTATTGTTTGATGCACAAAGGAATCGTAAATTACTCGGGTATCTGTTTATTAGCAGAAAGTAAGTTCACTCGGAGTGCGGAGCTCTTGAAGAACCTTTTTCTTAATTTGATGCAAAAAAATTTCTGATAATCCTATGGAATATTTTGACTGTTAATCCGTTTGGGGGCTTCAAGTAGAGGAGCCATGGAGTAATGTTTCAATATGAATCGCGCCACAACACATCTAGATAAGATTGTGCTCTACAATCCCCCTGATGTAAACCGCATTTGATCAAAAGACCCTAAATAGTATAAAAGAGCTGGTGGATTCGATTAGGATCTTCGGGTGTCCCTCGAGGCTTTATTAAATGAAATGGTGTCTTGTGAAACACGCAGCGATGAGCTGAGGGATTATTTTCGCTCCTATCTCGATGCTAATCGAAAACCTAGGCAAAAATTCACGTTAATCGAGCTGTTACGAAGACACTGATTGCGTTAACATGCTGGTGAATTCTAAGCGAAATTTAGCGTGAAATTTTGGGCGAAAACAAAGCGAAATCGCAAACAAAGCAAACACATTTAACCACCATAAATGGGCATTTTATTATGGCGCTCCCTCATTGAACAGATTTTGTCCGGCGGCAGAGATCATAATAGAATAAAGGAACATCGCATTATGGGTGTATGGGGGGATAAAAACAACATATGGGACTTGTTAGTGACTTGTGGCACCCCGGAGAATTTAAATATTAATCACATGCCAGGCTTTATTAATACAGTTCGGAGATGTGCGGGGAAACCACCCTGTGAGGCTGCGGTTGATCAAATATTAATGGGACAATGATCATTAATAGTCTGCATGTTGGGCAAATGCATGCAGGAATTTTTCACTGATTTTTTGCCCTTTTATCCAAAGAATAAATGGGCTACCAACACTGTTATCCTTATGTTAATAGTGTGAAACCAATTGCCCAAAATGGGGCTTTTCATGGTACATATGGGGGAAAATTGGGTCATCCACTGGTTTTTGCAATATAATATGCATGAGTACATCTGGCCAATGTGGAACGAAATTTTGGGCGTCTACTTTACCACCGTTAGTGATGTTTTTTGGGATTTTGCTTCGTTTGTTATGCTGATGAACTCTGAATATATCGGGTTTCAGTGTCAATGTTTCATTTTCAGTTCAACCTAGTGAACTTGAAGAAAACACCAGTTTTCAACCACCAACTTTTAGCTCCAAGTGTCCTCTGTAGATGATGAAAATTTGAAATCGCTTTTCGGTGTGCATTAGTAGTTGCAATTTTGTGTTTTGTGTAAAAGGGACGAGCGTCTAATTGTGTTAAAGCATCAATTTTGCGTCATCATCAACAAGGTTGTGAAAATTTCAATCTTCCGGAGATTTCCCTAATTTTTTATTACATTTTAGCCCTCAGGTGTCTTCTATAGATGATGGAGAGTTAGAATCGAAATTCGGTGTCCAGTACGATTTTTGAGGGGAATTGCGGATACTCAAAATAGGTTTTTTTTGAACCAACATTTACTAAGGCGGCAAAAATGCAAATACGGCGAAATTATAATGAAGTTTCTGGGCTTGTTAGATTCAGGCTTCAGCTAGTAGCCAAAAATTGCAAGGGTGGTGAAAAATGTGAGGAGTGCAAATTAAACAATGATCTACTTCAAAACCAACGGCGATGGAAATTTGATTTTAAGCTCATTGGACAAGAGCGATTCTGTTCTACAAACCCGAAAACTTTGGTTATTAGTGCATCTGAAGCAAATTTTTGACAATTTTTTGCAAAATTCCGCTTCAAACTCGCGCGTGTTATTTAACGAAGTTTTTAGCGACGAGTTTCTCCAAAACCCGCACAGGAAGAAACTTCATTTTGGTCTCGTTAGATAGAGGCAGTTCTATTTTTTAAACTCGAAACTTTTGCTT